CACACACACATATCCCTAACTGTTTCCATTTTTTCCAGGTCGTTCATCTTTGAGGTCATCAGCTGTGTGGCAACTTTCATTATCATTTTACGAGACATGCAGACCTACTTCAGAAGTGATGGTTTTATCAAGTGTTTGCTCGGTTATTAATTTATTTTTAAAGTCGTTACGAATTTTCTCAACTAATGAAGTATATAATTCAGTGAAGGTTATCCCCTTCACCTAGTGTACGTCTAAAATATTTATGCTAGGTACTACTGGACTGTTGAATAAGTCTTTCGGATAAGAAAATTATGGCTTTACCCAGCCGAAGAAGCCTTTGTTTTAACCCCTATTGATCTAGTAAAGGTTGCTAATATGTAGTACACGTGGTTCGCAGGGTAAATGTATCATTATGTCATCCGAAGTCAGAATAAGTAGATCTCAGTTTGTTTGATGAATTTTTTGTGTTTTTTAAACTGATTTTGATGATTTCCAATGAATTTGTTTGCTCCACTGTCAGTGGTAGATAAATATTTTATAATATGTGAAAGTGACAATTCTTTGTACTGTTCCCTAATAAAGTGAGTGGTGAATGTACCAATTTCTCAATAATGATACTTAATCTTCGTATCCTGTCATTGCACTCTGCAACATTTTATGAAATTCTAAGCCAAATTAAGGATTGTTGATGATCGCGTGTCAAAGTTAACTTATTGTAAATACACTTAAATCCGATGTTTCCCTTAATAGAGCGATTGGAATAAATCTTGTAACTTCTTCATGAGTAATCATGAACTTCTGTCTCTGTGAAAAAGTTAAAGTTCCTTCTTACATAAATTGAGGAATGGTAGATATATAACCCAGTTGTATTAATCATATTATTTTAAATCTTTCTTACAAGATGTTCATCTTCAAAGAAGAAGTACATCTTGTACACAACATAACTTTTTTTAACCCAGTCCTCTATTGACTTTTAATGTAAAAATTGATCGGTCCTCCACTCCCATGTGCATAGGCGTTCAAGTATTTAACTGATTTTTGATGTAAGAGTTTCAGATATTTTGTTTGATCTTCAGAAAAGAGTCATCAGAATGCTCAACAATGTAGGATAGTAAGATATATATACCTCAAATGAACATTAGTATCTAGTTGGAGCAATAAGTGTAACAGTGAACACAAAGATATGGGGAAGGTATGCGAATATAAATAATATTCAACTTCCATACTTATTTCCATACTTATTCGCTAATCGCTCAGCCAACAACGTAAATGAAAGAGGATTATCACTCTTACAGACATGGTTATTCAATTACGGGTACAATAAGTGCAGTGGTGATTATGTGGTGGCATTTGCAGTGTCAATAAGGAGAAGCAGTAAAATTAGAATTAAATTTTATACTACAGTATTTGCTGCTTATTTATTAATTACTTACAATTCAAAAATAATCTTAGAAATCTTTATGTACAGTGATTTACAGTCCTTAATTTAGAGTGAACCATATGAATGCTAGGCAGCTAAACTGGAGTAGCCATGTCGCTCATATAATTAAGAAGATTACACCAGTTGTTGGCATTATGTCCAGATTAGGGCACTGTGGTCTTCGTACGCAAATACTTAAAAACATTTATTATGCATTGATACACTCTCATCTCTCATACTTAATATCGGTATGGGGACATTGCGCAACCCTCCTACTACAAAAACTAAAAATTATTCAGAAAAGAGCACTTAAATTTATCTTCAACCTGCCATTCAGAGAACCAACTTCTAATGTATACAAAATTGCCAACATTCTACCAATAGAAAATCAAGCGGAC